GAATGAAAACCAAAAACATGTAGTTCAGCAAAGAGGCTCATTTGTTTGGATTCATTTTCTTTAGCTGCACAATCGCATTTATATATATATATATATGAACCTAATTGTGGTGGACTGGATTATGCATCAGACAGTGGGAAACGAGAAGACAGGGATATCCTGCACTGAAAAACGTAAAGAACCTAGAAGACCTGGATTTCGCGCGTGGATGATTTATGTTTGATGTCACTGTCACAAAATAGAAGACTTACAAGCGAAAACCGACAAACCGGTCGAAGAAGAAGCCGGTGAAGACAGGATTCCATGTGAACATAGGCAAGATGGAGGTTATGAAAATAACCGACCAACAAGAACAACATCCAGCGCCAATCACCATCAACGGGAGGGATTTGAAAGAGGTTACTTCATTCACTTATCTAGCTGGGGAGCATTATTTCAACTACAGGTAGTTGGAACAGACGAGGATGTCAAATCGAGCGAAAATCGGGAAGGGGGACGAGAAACACATCCACTCACCAACCTGAAACCAATCTGGAAATCTTCGTCACTCAGCCACATCAACAACAAAATCCAGTCAGATTTTCAGTACAAACGTCAAGTCAGTCAGTTCTTCTATACGGATGAGAAACTTGGTGGGTGGGTCACAAAGAATATTTCCAACAGCCTGTTGCATACATTTATCAACGAACAACTGTCTTCGCTGGATCTATACTGAAGATCAGAAGGCCCGGTCGGAAAGAGTCACCAACAAGAAACTGTGGGAAGAAACAAAACAAGAACCAATCGCCCGACACCAGCAAATATGCAGGAGAAAGTGTAGATGGGTCGGACATTCGTTCGCTGAGGAGCCCCTTGGGTGACATCGCGCGTCAGACTCTCGAGTGGGACCCGAAAGGGAAGAGGCGAGTGGGACGTCCAAGGGTGACTTGGAGGAGATCGTGTGAAGAGGAGTTGAAAGAGTATGGACTAACATGGATGCAGCTAAAGACAGAAGCAAGTGGAGACGTGCAGTTGAAGCCGTATGTTCCACTAGGAACCCAAGGGAGCAATAAATAATAAAATAATAAACTTTTCATGAGATAGAGTAGCAACAAATGTGATGAGTTGTCATAAACATAGTGGTTAATATTAGTCAGTTCATAAATTAATTTGAATAAGTGTACTAGAGTTACGTAGTAGAATGAATACTTATATGAGTGAGTTTTTATCAGGATGTTAGCAGCCACTTTCATGAGCAAAAAGTTGTATATAAATGCTATTGTACAACTAAAGAAAATGAATTCGACGAAAAAAGGCTCTAAGCTGAAAAGTGCGTTTTTTGTTTGAAAGATCTTGAGTCAACTAGATCTTTTGTGGAGCATTTCCTGTGTAAAAGTGGGGCTAATTGGCTAGTTTATTAGACAGTTAGCTGAAAATTCCATACTTGTACCAAAAATACGGTGTGGAATCAAGCTGTAATCAGAAAATAGAAATAAATAAATAACACCCATGGATAACAATTCCAATCCTTGATATTATCAACAGAGCTTATGTTCATCAAGTATATGAGATAGGTTGTCTCCACCACAATGGACTGAAAAGATATAGTTTTTAGATTATTCACTACTACTACCACTACTACTACCTCTAATAATACAACTACTGTGGTGAGAGCTGACTGCTAGCCAAAGTTGGTAGACAGTAATTTACGTCAGTGTTTATATCCCCAATATTGGTCGTGAGAAAAATGAGAACAAAGGCTTTGCGTAGGCGGATACAGTTAACATATAGATGATCTGATATTCAAGAAACAGTCAAAAAGAGATGCAACGTTAACTTTCTGTGAGAAACAACCAATCAGAAGACTGTGTTTGTTCGCTTGAATAAGCTATAATAATGTACATGAAAATCTGTAAATTTGTGTTGATTTCCTTAATAAACGATCTGTGGTCTGGCCCTTGTCTTTTGTTGTTACACTATTACTACTACCACTAATAATAATAATAATACAGCCACTACTGTTACTACTACTCTTAATAGCACTACTTCCAGTAATTTATCATCTAATACTAGCACTAATGTTACTATTAATAAAACTAATAACATTTCAATTACTACTGCTCATAATACTATTACCAGGGCTAGTAGTATTACTACTTATAATACTAGTGTAGCTAACGAAGCGACTACTACTAATACAGATGTTAACAATTCTACTAATACTGTACGTCGATGGCACAGTGGTTAGGACTCTCGCCGACCATGCACATGGTCCGAGGTTCGAATCCCTGCCGACGCACACCTGATATCTATGGTCGACCTGCAAAATTTGGGCCACCGATATCCAAGCTGAAAATTCCGAACTTGTACTAAAATACAGTGTGGAATCAAGCTGAAATCAAAATAAATAAAAAAATAATAATAATACTCATTGGTATTACAGCTACTTCTAATACTATTACCACTACAGCTAATAATGTTACTTCTACTGCTAAATTAGTAGAGCTACTACTGAAATTACCACTGAAAATACCAGTAATAATATTACTAATAATCAAGTGACTCTTAATACTAGTGTTACTACATCTAATACTGTTCCTATTACTACTGATAGTACTACTAAAAGTACTTCCACTTAAGCTGCTACTACTCCAGCTGCTAATAATACTACCTCCATTACAGCTAACACTATTACTACTACTAGTGATAGTATTACTACAGCTAATGCTACTTACACTACTCATACTATTACTAAAGGTACTACCACTACTACTACTGATGGCGTTACTAGTGCTACTATGCCTACTATTATAACTACTACTACTACCCCAACTATTGTACTACTATTACTACTACTACTTCTAATAATAATACAGCTACTGCTACTACTAATGCTACTATTTTTTTTTGATTTACAGTTTGATTCCACACTGTATTTTTGGTACAAGTATGGAATTTTCAACATGGATATCGGTAGCCCAAATTTTGCAGGCCGACCATAGATATCAGGTGTGCGCCGGTGTGGGCTCGAACCCCGGACCATGTGCATGGTCGGCGAGAGTCCTAACCACTATGCCACCGACGCACAAAGCGGAGTGCGTCGGCCGGGAAACTACTACTGTAACAACAACAGACAAGGGCCAGACCACAGATCGTTTATTAAGGAAATCAACACAAATTTACAGATTTTCATGTACATTATTATAGCTTATTCAAGCGAACAAACACAGTCTTCTGATTGGTTGTTTCTCACAGAAAGTTAACGTTGCATCTCTTTTTGACTGTTTCTTGAATATCAGATCATCTATATGTTAACTGTATCCGCCTACGCAAAGCCTTTGTTCTCATTTTTCTCACGACCAATATTGGGGATATAAACACTGACGTAAATTACTGTCCACCAATACTGACTAACAGCCAGGTCTCACTACACTTTTACCACAACTGATAAAACTACTACTAGTACTTCTCTTACTACTAATACTATTACAACTATACGTAAACTACAGCTACTAATAATAATACCATTATTAATAATACTACAACTAATACTTCTACTAATACTGCTATATAGCAACTAACAATCGTGCTACTACTACTACTACTACCAATAATACTAACATTTCTACAGCTGCTACTACTACTACTATAACTGCTTCTAAAAATACAGCTACTACTGATACTGGTAGAGCTTCTACAGCTACTAGTTTTACTACTGGTATATCTTCTACTAATACTAATTCTACCACAGGTACTACTGCCAATAATACAGTTCCTATTCAAGTATGGGTTTGTAGGGATTTGAATGATTGATTACAGGATTTCATCATGGCTGACATTGGTTAGAGAACTATTGTTAAACCAGCTGGGAGTACTGGACAGCTGTTTCGTCCTAGTTGGCAGAAGTTACAATTCGCCGGCCATTGGATCGGGCCCCAGTGGCTTAAGGGTCTACGAACTCGCCTCGTAACTAGGTCCTGGGTTCGAACCCCGGTAGGTACGTACTGATCAAGAGTCCAAACTAGGAAGAAACAGCTGTCCAGTTCTCCAATGGCTCGCTAACCAATGTCAGCTCATGATGAAATCCTGTAACCAATACAGCTACTACTTCTACAGCTCTTACTAATAATACTAATAGCAATACTACAACAACTACTACTTCTAATACTAACATTACTACTACTACTACAACTGCTACTCATACTGTGGTGAGAGCAGGCTGCTAGTCAATTGGTAGACACTAATTTACGTCAATGTCTAGGTCACTAATATTGCCCGTGAGAAAATATGACCTAACGTGGGCATATAAGATTCGCAGATAGATGGCTTAACTTTCCGAGAAACCAGAAACAACCAGTCGGAAGACTGTGTTTGTCTTCTTGAATAAGCTATAATAATGTACATGAAATATATATAAATACGTGCTGACTTCCGTGATAAAACGGTCTGTTTCCGGCCCTTGTCTTCTGTTGTTACAATACTATTGCTATGGCTACTAGTGAATCTATAGTTACTACTAATAAAACTACCCGTACTCCTACTACTATAATACTACTCCGATAGCTTATATTAATACAATTGCTACTAATATTATTACTACCTCACCTATTGCTTCTCCTGCTACAGATAATACTACGAATACTACCATTAAGCTAATTTTAATATTACTATTATTAGTTATACTAATTCTACTAATATTATACCTACTAATACCACTACTAAGAATAATGATAGTAATAATAGTATTACAGCTACAAGTACTACTACAGTTATTATAATTAATACCACTAACATTACTAAAATTAATACTACTACTGATAATAATACTTCTGGGGATACTGCTACTTTTACTACTACCATAACTGCTAATTCATTTATATCACTAATATAACTACTACTTCTAATACTAATACTAATATTTCTACATCTGCTGCTGCTGCTACTACTACTACAGCGTCTGCTATTTCTACTGTTCTTATCAACAAGTAGGTACAAATGAAACAGAAGAGAAGAGTGAAGACCGCTGAACAACGTTTATTAAACATCTGACTTCTTTTTTTCAACACTTATAAACAAAGGTGTTACAAAAGTTTACAGTTTCATATATGTAGTTGTTGGTGTTGTTGTTCACAGAAAAGAGAAGAAAACATTAACACCTTGGAATAATTAAGTCAAGTTTATACAAAATTTCCCTTGTCTGTAGGAGTGTAGCACCGAAGCTTTAATCATCAGTGAGGAATGTTGATCATCAGCCTGTGTCAGAGAATGTAAACCAAGGAACAAAAAAAGACGAACAACAACGACAACTGACAAGCAAATTCACGAATACAGCTGGTGAAGTGAACGTGTAACACAGCTAGCTACCTTGTTAAGTATCTTCAAGAAATTTTTCCAAAGCATCACTGTCAGTAGGTAGCATGGTTATATTTTCACTGAATACTGATAAGGCATTGTTCCCTGACACTGGTGTCGATTTATTTTCCTGAAGGGAAACAAAACAAAATGAAAGAAACCGAGCGAATTACAACAAAGTCTCTCAAGTGAAATTTGTTATTTTCAAAAACTAATTCGCGATAAACAACAATTTACACAGTACGAGGAGGTGAATATTCACCACACTTTGCATAGAAAAAAAAACAAAAAAAGAACAAAACAAACACTGAAATACTTCAGATCACAATATGATTTCTGGCTAGTTTACTTGAGCCGATTGGCTGATTGAACAGTTCAGGGAAGTGACACTTCACTACACTTCCCTTTGCAAATTAAAATATTTCTGAACACAATATATATATATATATATACCACTGATATCAACCAATAGTACTTAATAGTCAAGGCGAAATAATGCAAACACCGGACGGCCGTTTCTCTGATCTTATTCATCACATTAGTTTTTATCCAAACATCCTGTCTATTTTGTTATTTCTACATTTCTAACCCCTAATTGCACAATGTCAGTCTTCTTAGTTATTTTAATGCTACTTTGTTTGTTTTATCCATCCCCTGTTTATTATGGCATTCTAATTCCCAATTTTAATTTTTATTAATTTGATCCTTGACCGGATATTATTCTGGAACTTTCCCATCCATTTGATATAAATACACGAATGTACAGCCTAGATGATGACTTCGTCGAAAAGAAAATTTTCTTCGCTGCAACTGTCTTCATATATATATATATATATATATATATATATATATATATGCATATAGGCGAGTAACTGTTCACTTACATGACTCGGTAGATCATGCTGGTCACGATTTTTCACTAGAAGTCCTCCTGTGTGAAGCCAGTCACTAGTCAGAATCAAATTAATTTTATAAGTATTGCTTTCAGAGATTCAATCGGTTACAGATTTGGTCACCAGTTGACATCAGTTAAAGCTCAGCTTATAACTAGAATACCGTGAGTTCATATCCCAGTGGGTGGGTATTGATGAAGAGCCCCCAACTAGGACGAGACAGGTATCCCTGATTTTTCAATGGTGTTCTTCAACTGATGTCACCTCGTGGTTATTCAGTATAGACAGGTTTTCATTTTATGCGAACTCACTTGTTGTTGTTGTTCTTCTTCTTTTATAGAGCCTTTTTTAGATTTTGTTCTCGATTGTTCCAGTCCTGTGAGAAAGAAGGAATAAAGCAATTGTTAATCATAATCATAAATTAATAAACACCAGGGATACAGGCTGCTGTGTCTCAATGGCTTTCCTACCACACACACACGCACACCTCGTCAAGTTTACCAGTCGATAGGAAACCGAAAGAAGGTTTGGAATGACACTGGCAACTTCATACCGTAAAAAACACCACAGCTGGTGAGTTCCTAAATCTTCAACGATCTATGTTGCATTCGGAATGCAAATGAACGAAAAAGAGGCGAAAAAGAAAATACATGGAATCCTAGATTGTGAACAGTTAGTACATTTCCATAGGCACTGATGATTACAGTAAGAACGGCTGGGGAGGAGATGAGAAACTATGGGCAATCCTGAAGCCTGCTAAGGAGGACCACAGAGAATAGGACAAAGTGGAGATGTGCTTTTGAAGTCCTACGTTCCACTTAGAACCCAAGAGAACAATAATAATAATAACAGTAAATATCTTTCATTGAGATCTTAACACTGCGAAAATTCCATTCTGTATCACAAGTACTGTTTTTGGAATACAGTAAATTATTATTATTACTATCCATTTGTTGAATTCCGAGTGAAGTGTAGAGCATCAATATCACATTTCCATTTCATTTGGTTCTCTGCGACCACTTTCATCTTGCTGCACGACTGTCCAGAAGCTTTCATTACCTTCTTACGTGATCTCCTCCCCCTTCATAACGCACTCGAACCCAATCCAAACTAATCGCTTCCCGTTCGGGTCGCATTAGACGGCCTCCGTGGTGTATTATGGTTCTACTCGATGGTCTCCTCAGCCCACGTTTATCCATTTCCATTTTCTACTGTATATTTTTTGAGGGTGGGGTGGGGTAATAGGCTATTAGGTGTTTGGCTGCCAACCAGAGTTCCTTCTTGATTAGCCTTTCTCACCGGCTATCTTATCTTCAGTATCGAGACAAAGAAGGCGGCTGTCAATCAACCTCAGCAGAAGGCAGTTCTAAACAAATTCGGTGACGCGCCCACTATGTCTGTGAGCCGTATAACAGCATTGAGTCGACATTACTATTAAAAATCCTAGTCTTGTTCTTTGTGTTAAGTGCTATAGAAGTCTAAACTTATCTCAGAGTAATGAAGCCCTATCCTGCTTTTACTATCTGCTCCTGATTCCGGCTTTAGAATCCTCAAACATGCCACCTGTCTGTTCTCATAGGTGAATAATCGCAAAGACAAATTCTCTTAGATTTCTTCCTTCCTTCCTTGTTGTAGCTCATCAGCAATATATGCCTTAATCGACATAACTTCCTTTATCTATTTACTTCTACTAGACTGTTATTACCCCGAGTGTCATTTCCCATAGGTTTGTATTTTTATTTTATTTTACACATTTGTTAACTCTGAGTTTATCTACTTGATTTGATAGTAGCCTTAAAACCAGAGCCTACTGGAGGATCTTCAAAAAGGCTAAATACTGACATCCAAGTTCCAATGGGAATAATTATGTGATGATAATATGGTAGGCAACATAGACAAATAATAATAATAATAACACACCAAAATAGAGAGAATACAAAGTAAATGGATAAACTTACCAGAATTCGTTATTAAATCTTTTTCAGACTCCAATAGTATATGCCGATTAGATGTATTCATAGAATCAGTCTTTTCCAATACATGTGTATATGACGACGGGAATTGTAAGCGTGAATTCATTGCCCAACGAGAGTTGAACCAATTCAATCAATATAATAAGACAAATAGAAAGAAAGAAAGAAAGAGATATTTAGTCATAAGCTAAAAATAACGCGGTAACTCACTAATTAACCATGTACACATTTATAAGCTACATTCATTTTATAAGAACCAACAACACAGACCACATTCAAATCAATTTTTTCATTTCCTTTACTTTTCCAGTGGAAGATGGGCCTTCAGGCTAGGAGCTTGGAAGTTTCGATAACAGCAGTTTTATATTTTACTGGGTGGAGTTACTAGCCTCAAGCCCTGCCTTCCCTGTTTACTGGTCTTACTACTCGCTTAGAGAGATTCAGAGGTTCGTCGGTCGGGGATCAAACCCAGGACTTTTGCCGTGGCTGGCAAGCGTTCTACAGCCGAACCACCGAATCAATACTACGAATAATAATTTTTCATATATGCTCTAATGCTTCACGGTAGACAAGCAGAGTGCTTGCTGCTAATCGTAACTCACGGCCTTAAGCATTTGGCTTTCGGATAGCCCCGCTCCAACTATAGCAACTGAGTAGTATCACTAACCATCAGAATTATTTACAGTGTTCACAGTCTGATATACGGAAAGTCAGTGTTTAGATAGATGATAACTGGTCAATTAAGTTTTTCGGACAACTGGAACTTGTAACTTGTTGATGATTGATGAAAAGTAAGACAAATATAAAGTTTTCTGTTCCCTACTAATTGACTTCATCCACCCCATTCTAGTTTGACGGTTATTTAGTTAAATATTCTTCTTAACAGGAATAGGAAGAATACCCTTTATAGTACTGAGTTGTATTTCATGTGTACAAAGATTTCATGTTTCATGTCTCTAGCCTTAATAAAAAGCAAACCTTATTAGACTACTACTACTACTAAGACTTGACCTGGCCCTCCGGCGTTCGAAACCAAGGGTGCTAGGCTCGAGTCTCAGTGGAAACACCACCACTCACTGGGGATTGCACTAAATCTATCTGATAAGTCCTAACACAGGACAAAATGCGTATCCCATATTCCACCGGTTGGTAGTCACTAATCACCAAAAAACATTATTATACTACTGTAAATATCTTTTTACGAGTTGATCACGAATTGATATCAGTTAGAGAACCACTGAAAACCAGGGAGTACTGGACAGCTGCTGTTTCATCCTAGTTTGAGAAACATCGGTAGTACACACCCATTGAGATTCAGACCCAGGACCTTCCGGTTACAAGGCAAGCTCGTATACCATTCAGCCACTGCGACCCAATCCAATGGCTCATGAATTTTAACTTCTACCAATTCGCGATTTAATGCAACCCCAACCATTGTCGTTGGTGGGACATTCATCGTCACACGTGACATCTAATTGGACTTCACTGGGCACGATTTCTCACTAGAACTCCAGGAAACTCCATCCTGTAGCAAGTGCGCCAGTGGCACAGTGGTTAGGACTTTCGCCGACCAAGCACAGGGTCCGAGGTTCGATCCCCTGCCGACGCACACCTGATATCAATGGTTGGCCTGCAAAATTTGGGCTACCGATATCCAAGCTGAAAATTCCATACTTGTACCAAAAATACAGTGTGGAATCAAGCTGTAATCAAAAAATAAAAAAGATAAAATAATCTGAATAATCTGAAAGTCACTAGCGAGCATCAGACTAATTTTCTATAGTTTAGTTTGTAAGGGTTAGTTATGTTTTTACGAGTTGATCACGGATTGATATCAGTTCGAATCCCAGTGGGTGCGTACTGCCGATGATTCCCAAACTAGGATGAAACAGCAGCTGTCCAGTACTCCCTGGTTTTCAATGGTTCTCTAACTGATATCAATCCGTGATCAACTCTTACAAACATAACTAACCCTTACAAACCAAACTATAGAAAACAGTATATATCTCTTAAAAATCTTCATTTACCTGTCCCTCAAGCTGATTTAATTGTAACTGACTGACTACTGCATGGGATAAATCTTTGTTCAAAGGATTAGCGGAAGCAGTACAACCGTTCTCTTCATTGTCATCATGAAAGTCATCACATTGATGAATGTATGTATACGATGTTAAAGATGACTCTGAATCATCATTACAGTAATAAATCTCAATATCTGCTGGGTCTACATCTTCACTGAATCCAATAACCATAGGATTTTGTTCCGTTCTTGGTTCATTAGCATGAAATTTAATAAACGGAATGATTCATTAGTTTTTTTTCAAATAAATTATAAATATAATTAATTGATGCTTTTATCAAATAGTATTTCTCACTGAAATAGATTAGGCGAAAATAATTCAGAAGTTATTAATCAGGGATGAATTATTAGACACTAGATCAATAAGTGGATGTTAGTACGACCTACTGACTAACAGAGCGTTCAACATAGAACTTGGCCAAGTTCTTGCACAGTGAGGCGTAAGTCTCCCTTCTTTGGCAGTTTGACGAGATAGCTAGCCTTTCTTCCAATCGGTAGGTAGCCTTGCTTCTTTCCAAACCTTTTGCAATGACGTTGTGAGCAAATCTGCCGCAGTTTCGGGGTCCGTTTTCAGTGCTGCGGGAAGGGGGAGTTCCGTCCGGTCCCGCTGCCTTCCCAGCTGGCCTTCACTAGCTTGATCACAATTAGTATTTCAACTTTCGTTGGAGGATCGGTGTCCACTGGCAGGCAGTTGTGTGAGTGCTGTTGGTGTATTTGTGGGCGATTTGCAGGTGACGGTTGATTCAAGAGTCCTTTAAAGTGATCAACCCATTGCTTTGTTTGTTTCTCCTCCTCGGTAATCAGGTTCGCTTGAGCATCTTCTACTGGTTTTATCAGTGGGTTAATTTCTTCTCGGGTAGCGAGTGACCTGGTTATCTGATATGTTCTCATGTCTCTTCTGACTGCAACCTGCCTGTTCTGCCTCAGTCCCCGGCCAATGTGTCGTAGAATTGTCTTTTGTCTTTCCTAGCACTTTTCTCGTCTTTCTTGATTGAGTGCGGTGTACATTAAACTCAGCTTCTCCTTCTGTTTTTTTATTTTTGATTATAGCTTGAACTCACACAGTATTTTTGGTACAAGTATGGAATTTTCAGCTTGGATATCGGTACCGCAAATTTTGCAGGCCGATCATTGATATCAGGTGTGCACCGGCAGGGGATCGAACCCCGGACCATGTGTACAATTGTACACATCTCCTTGAACATCATTTGCATAGAGTTCCAATGTTCTTTCTCACATGTTTCCTCAGTGATAACACGTAGTGTCTCCGACTTCGCTTTGATCTGTAGTGAAGGCATCCCTTGTAGTTTTGTCCATAAGTTTCTGAATGTTGAGCCTCAATTGTAGTAGTCTGTCCCCAGTTTTTTTGAGGGATTTCAGCTTTACATTCCAGGTTCCAGAAACTAGATGATGGACTGAACTCACCCACATCTGCTCCTCTTCTCGACTTTGTGTCCAGCAGACTAGCTGCGTCTCAACTTCCTTGAGCAGTATTGATATGAAATCTGTCTGGTTTGTGGTATGTCCTTCAGGCGAAATCAATGTTGCTTTGTGCATATCTTTGTGTTTGTACACGCTGCCTCCAATCACCAAGTCATTGAAAGTGCAGAAGTGTGCGAAGAGTTCTCTGTTCACATTCATTTCTCTAAGAGCCTCTTGACCTGTGATGAGTTCTCCTCCTGTATTATTCGCTCCCAGTTTGTCTTGCCCATGAGGACTTTGATATCAACACTCGAGATATTGTCCATTACTGTTTGTAGTTGTCTGTAAAAATCCTCCTTCTTCTCTTGTCCCGCATTGTTTGTAACACTGTGAGTAGCATTGCATGATAATTGTGACTTTCCTTCCTTCCTTTTGAGTTGAATCTTGTTGTCATGATCCTGTGGGATGAAATTGATTCCCACTGCATTAGAGCTCTGACTGCCACTGGTGACATCATAAAAGCCACTCACTGTCTCAATGTGTTCGTGGTTGTCATCTGGGTGATCAGACCGGAGTAGATTATTGGCTCTCCAGTTGAGAACTTAGACAATCCGGATCCATTCCATCTGTTCTCGCAGATACCTAGAACTTCTAGGTCATATCTTCGCATCTCTTTGGCTACCTGGGAAGCCTTCCAAGTCACGTATATTATACGGACATTCCACGTCCCCATTCTCATTCTTGCTTTCATCGAGTCAACATACATCAGCTGGTTGACTTCTTGGACGTGGGGTTTCCCCAGCCCGCTGTGTCATTTTGCCCCTCCAATCAGAGAAAAGAATAAGATTATTATTTGAAGTTTTTGTATTTTTAATATATTTCCTGCGCGTTGAAATTTCCCAAGACATTTGAAAGATTTAGTTGTGTGAATGTGCCAGCCCCACGTCCAACCCCTCCTCCTTACCCGAGCTTGGAACCGTCTAGAAAATTAGCAAGCTAGTTAACTAGGAGAGGTTCCAGATCTACTAGAGTATTCTTATCACCACGACGTATTCCTGTTTTCTTATTCCCCACAGCCTTCCCTATACTCCAGTCAACTACACTTAGGAATATCTTGAGTGATGGTAGGTAGCGTTGTATACCTTAATCATACACTATTTATAAACAATAAGTATCCATTCTTCTCTTATTACATTAGTTAAAAGAACAGCTAATTGTTTTAGCGTTGCTGCATTTCCATATATGCTTCACACTTACTGTTAGTCATCAGAATAATATATGGTCGGTCACCTCATAGGAAGGAAGCTGTAGGATTTTGTGCTTGTAGACTCTTACCAGTTAGCAAGGCATATCCAAAGTTATGAAGGAACTCATTCCCCTTAGGAGATTAGAACTCATCTCTGACAGCAACACCAGGTGACACAGGTTCGAATTTCAGAAGGCAGATAAATTCCTTCAAGATTGCAGATACGTCTTGCTGAATGGTGAGTGTCGACAAACATGCAACCAGGATTCAAGGCTTCCTTTCCTCATCTAATAACAACAATAATTCACAGTGCACCGTGCTGGCAAGCCACCTAGCATGGTGTCCACATTGCAAACATAAATGTGATAGAGTTCAGTCAGCGCTAACACAAGGGACTAGCAGCATGACACTGGTTCCTACCTACTGACCAATCAGTATACACACAGTGACTAGTCAAAACACTCACTTGCTAGATTCATTAGACTTCACTTCATTGTGATTAATTTTCATAGGTATAGTATTATTAATACTATTACTGTTGTTAGCATTAGACAGTTTCAAGGAATTTATTGTTTCCATTGTTTTGGCCAACTGGAATGTAGGAATACTGACAACTAAATATTTTTAAAAAAATCGAAAAAGGAAAGATGATGAATCATCATTTGAACGTAAATAAACTAATATTATTTAACAGCAGAAATAATCGGATGAAACTGCAAAGAGAAATACAAAATTCAGTAAAAACGGACCCATTTCCATTCATCCGTTATATACTTCCTCATATTATACGACTCATTAATTACAGTTGAAATACATTTACTACGCTTTCATCATCTTTTGACTAACACTCACTAATCTTAACATCTACTACTTTGTATATATTTTAAATATAACGGACAAATACTAATGAGCAAATCCATATAACAATTTGTATATAACTGTAGTTTTACGATCGTCGTCGTAGTAGTAAATGAAGTCGCTGAAAGCAGTCTCTTTGTTGCCATTAGGTGGTTGAAGGAAATCAGCAGGAAGCCTTGGACCTAGGTTTTGTGCTAGTTGGCATTAATCAGTCAACAAGGCGTATCTGCAAACTTGAAGGAACTCATGTCCCTTCTGAGATTCAAAACCGTGTCACCCAGTCCTACCAGCAGTCAGAGACGTTACCACTGAGCTATTCAGACTCGCGATTGACCTCCTTCCTGTAGGACTGTATTGGATACTTTGGCTGGACACCAGTCAGTAACTAGTGTGATGTTTCTAGTCGAAGACATTGCGAAGTGGTCACGCAGTGTCATAGATTGGTAGAAGTTAGAATTCAAGGGCCATTGAATCAGGTCCCAGTGGCTTAGACGCCGGTCTACGAGCTCGTCTTTTAACTAGAAGGTTATGGGTTCGAACCCCGCAGCATGGGTGCGTACTGATGAGGAGTCCCAAACTAGGACGAAACAGCAGTCCTGTTTCTGCAGGTTTACCAATGGTTCTTTAACTGATGTGAGCTCATGATGAAACTAAATGCGCATCCTGGATTCCACTGCTAGTCACCATCCACCAATCAAACACAACTCCTACAAAAATCAATAGTCATAATTTATTGTTACATTCTGAGTTACCTCATACTCATTCTATAAGGTAAATGCAGCAATTACCGCTCAGCTAAGCCAAGTGACCACATTATGAATTAACATTCGTTATGACAAAATTGCTAACAACAAAAAAGACAACAGTCAAACATTATCATTAATAATACAAAAGTAGCAGATTTGTTGATAAGAAAACGTGCAAGTAAATCGAATTCTCCACTTACAATTTACACCAGTCGGGAGGTGAAATCTCTAACCATAGTTACCTTTGAAAAGCAAAAGTATTCAGATCATAGACGTCCGGTGCTTAGACCACCACAATCCGGTTAGCATACACTACTGGTTAGTGTGGGTGGTATATAACTACTCATCTCTCAGTAGTATATAGCTTTGTGCAAATGTGCTTGGTTTCTAGATTACCATTTATGGTATCAAACGGATCACACATACTGTGATCTGAATAATTTTTGTTTCTAAAGGGAACTGTGGTGGAGCTCCACCTTCTCGAGCTGTGTGGTGGTTTAAACTGATTCTACTGTCTGAGCTGAATCATGAATGATGTGAAGGCGGCCCTGAACGAGCGAAACGGCAGTCCAGCGTTTATATTCTCTTTGATTTGGTTAGCAAACACTACTGGTTAGTGTGTATGGTATACAACTAGCCATCACAATCAGTCTGTAGTATACAATTTCATGCAAATGTGCAAGTAAACAACTTTTTTTTACATTTAAATTAATACAAATAGGGCAAAATATTTACACAACAACACTTATAATAATAATAATAACAGACACTCAGTGACAAATGAAGTAATCATGTCATCACCATCAACAACAGCAACAATAATAACAACAACACACACAAACAATAAATGTGAGGTCTAGAGGTTAGGGTTCCTGACTTTCACTCAGATGACTCGGGTTCGACTTCAATCATGGACCACTTGTTTGTGTGGCTGGGGATGCATTATATCAAATATACTCGATAAAATCTATGAAGATAGCCGCCATTAGAGACACCAATATAATTTTAAAATTTACACCTTAACGACAGTATTAACAAAAAGTAACACACACACACACACAGGCAGGTGCACACGTGCTCACACACACACACACAAAAAAAAAAGAAGAATAACCAAAATTGTAGGTTTTCAAATTGAGTTGGTTACAACATGTGAGGCCAGCAACATTTAACCGGTGTTTACGAAAACTAGAAAGCAAAAACAAAAAATGAATCAAGTGACTACACACAGATACATACACATCTCTACACACACACACACATGCGTCTATATCACACTCACAAACACACGCACACCACCCAACCTAAAAAAGGAAGTTAGATTTGTGTTTGGTTTTTTTTTAAAAAAAGAAAAGACAAACCAGTTTCAGTACATAACACAAAAGAACTTGCCATCATTATTTATCGCATGCGAAGATGCAGGATGAAAAGTGGACGAAGAAGAAGCAGAGGAAGAAGAAGAAGGAGGAAAGGAAGAAATAGGAGAAGTGATATTTCTCGAGACAGAAGACGATGCAGAACAACCAGTTGCTTTTGCTTCAGATGAATCCATGTAACTAAAACTGATGGCATGAATGTTTGATTGTTTTAGAGAGAGAGAAAGAGAGAGAAAGAAAGAAAAGGAAATTTTAAGAAAAAATTCATACAGCAGTAGACAGACAATAGACAACTAACTGCAAGATGGTATATAAGGTTAATTATGACTAAAAATGACACAAGTTTCCCTGGTCTAACAAGCAGACGCATCTAGATGATATTTGGTTGAAATCGTGTGTTAGCTATCAGTCAACTTGATTTCATTTCACAGCCTGAATTATATTTTCTTTATATTCCTTTAGCCACTGAGGGGCATATAGGATTTCAAGCTTGAGAGCAATGAAGTTTTAAGGAAGCGTTGGTGTTATCTTTTACAAAGTGGAGTTGCCAGCCTCACACATTCAATCATCGCCTCTTTTTCGAACTTACTACTGGCTAGTAAACCAGGCAAGGTTCAGAATTGCATCAGTCGGAAGTTCAACTCTGCTGTCTAGTGCGGCTGGCGAACATTCTACTACAAACCAGGATGTACTAGGACAATACTTTCGTCCTAGTTGACAACACTATTCGGCAGTACGCATCCCATTGGGATTAAAATCTAGGACCTACAGATTGGTTATGTGGTGAGTCTGTTGACTATTTAGCCACTGGGACAACTTCAATCATTACTGGTCCTCTAAATTTGTGAAACTTTCTCTTACTATGTTCTACGTTTCATCTGACAGATTCACATTTTAACAACTCAAGCTTTATGAGATGATTAGATGCAGAAATCAAATAATTAGATTACGTGGTTTTGTTAGTAATTATTTTATATCAATGTGAACTCCAATGCCTCTCAGAATTAACATATTATAAGTTTCATTAGTTAAACTGGCGTTTCTTACAGAAGTTTTCTCGAAAAAAACTGTCATATGCAGGTTTCTGAAATAAAGATCTCATGAATTAGCGAGTTATAAACATCAGCAGGTTCATCTGCTGTTAAAATACAAACTTCATGTTATGTGTTGATCACATGGTCGAACCACCGATATCAGCCGATGAGGTTACTGACTGTTTGGTGTGAATCCTTATGTGGCGAAGAGTAACTGGTTCTTACAGAGATGAACAATAAATGATTCTTATATTGGCATATTTTATCAGAGTGGATCACAGTAACAACAGTGTATTAATAGGAAGTTCGACAGCGATTATCTTATTATTCGTTACTATGCTTGGAGTCATTTAACAGGTTAGTTCTTCGACGTTACCGATGGCATAGTTCTTCTTATCCTTGACGGACTTGACTGAGACAGCAGTTACAGCCTTGCACTAGCAATTTCAGAAATCTATCTTGTAGTAAGTAACATTCTAAGCACTGGATTATGATTCAGTTTACTATCGATAAATTTCAAACAGAATAATCAAGGATGCCCATTATCCCCATTTCTACCCAATTACATCATAGATGTATTAATGGACTTAACCCTAACTCACTTCAGATACTCAGGGATTGACTTGCTACCAGGAAATAACCTCGTTGACTTAGAATATGCAGATGCTATAGTCCTCCCTCCTAGGTGAGGACGCTAACAAAATGCAGAGTCTTCTGAACACCATGAGCTGCAATCTACGAATGTTTGGCATGCGATTCGCTCCTGCCAAATGCAAGATGATGTTACAGGACTGGACTACACTGACTCCTAGTTTAGAAATAAAAAGTGAATTGGTAGAGCACGTTGACCGCTCCACTTATTTGGAAAGCACCATCAGCCCCAACGGGTTGATATCTGACGAAATCTCAGCACAGATACAGAGGGCTAGTTTCGTATATGCCAGTTTACACCGTCGATGGCGTAGAGGTGATATCCGGCTGGCTGTCGACCAAAGGGCGAGTGTACTGCTCAGCAGTCCGCTCCATCCTCCTTTATGGTCGTGAGTGAGACCTGGCCAATAAGAGTGGAAGACACGGAAAGGCTGGTTAGCTGTTTTTGATCATAGATGCTGCTCTCTATCTCCCGTGTGAAGTGGTATAATAAGGTGAGCAATATTGAGAATAAGCATCGGTCGAAAGTTAGGTAAGGAGGGGAAATCAATCGACGAGGCAGTGAAGTTACATCGACTGAGAAGGTTAGGACATGTGTTACGTATGCCTAGTCATCGCCTTTATCGACAATGGACAATGTTAGCTGACATAGGGTCAGGCTGGAAAAGAGCTAGCCGGTGGTGCTCAAACCAAAACATAGCATCATCAGTCAATGAAATCCACAACAGTTAGTCTAACCCACGTAGGACGGTGTGGACTTCCTGGTCGGGATGGTAAAATCCAGTGGCTGGAAACAACCGGTGATATGACTCAAAATCGTTCTCAATGGCTGACGCAGATGCATCCACTCCTTGTGAATTATGATTTCCAATGAAACTATATTGTTCTTCGTTATTACTATTCCTTTGTCTCACACCTCTGTTTCCTATCTCTATTATGCTTTCTTTTACCTTTTTCTATTGAGGAGGAGATGAAAGCATGTGGGCACACTTGAAGCCAGGTGAAAACTCTAGAAGAGAACCGAACGCAATGGAGACGCACGGCTGAAGCCCTATTTTCCTCTAGGAATATTTATTATCACCGTTATTCCTCTTTTAGATAACAACAAGCTTTGTGTGCTACATGGAGTGTGGGGACTTGAACTTCCGCACATCGGTGAGAAATTCTATGTCGAAAACAGACAGAGAGACAATTAGAGAAGACTTGGATATGTAATGTTTCCAAGTTTGACCACGGATTGATAACAGTTAGAGAACCATTGGACACCATGGAGTACTGCACGCCAGTCTCGTCCTAGCTTGGGACTCATCGACAGTAAGCACCCATGGGCCAGCTTGTCTTGTAACCGGAAGGTTCTGGATTTTAACTCCAGTGGGGGGGAGGAGTGAGTACTGCCGATGAGTCCCGAATGAGTGCAACATAGCTGTCCAGTACTCCCCGCTGCTTTTCAGTGGTTTTTCTAACTCATATCAATCCGTGGTGAAAAATTCAAAACCGATGAAATCTCTATAGACCAACTCTTGGGAATAGCGTGTTTCACTACTTCTAGAATCAATCAACTCCACTATACAGTCGGTGGCAGTTAACATCCCCAGAACATAAATAGATATATCCAATGGCAACGTGTCTGATTTCTACTATTTCGCTATCACATAACTTCGTCTGAGAGAAAAAAAAGCTTAAACTATAGATTCTTTGATTAGAAAAATAATTTGTTCGACCCTTTCTTTCTTGTTGTTATGATTATTATTGTTATTGCTGTTGTTGTTGTCGCAAATGTTGTTTGTTTCCTGCATATGTGTAACTCGAATAATCTTAGCGTAAAACGATTTTCTGTCTGTAGCATAATTATTATTAAAACAGTGAGCAGACGAGATGAGTAGAATCGCATTACAAAAAAAAAGAACAAAGAAAACAAGACAAACTGGTCAAAGATTGAAAGGCGAAAATAGAACAGACTGTTAATTTGATTTTTAGACATAGATTTTGTTAAGAAAAACAACTATTATTATTATTGTTATTATAGTCTTTATGTACCAACCGACGACTTCATTGACAAAAATTTTACAATTTAATACTCTTTTTTTAGTTGTCATCATACACTTGGTTGATCAGTGAACTAGAAAAATATGTAGGTAAATAATTCCTTCAGTGCAGAATACACTACTGAATAATATAAGTAGAGGTGATTCGGCAACTACTTCGCTACTACGGGGTACCACCGACAATAATACATCTCATCCAACAGTTGTACGACAGTGCTGCATGTCAAGTAATCCACAACGGGAAACTTAAGGAAGCCTTCGAAGTGAGGACGGGAGTGAGGCAAGGCTGTCTACTATCGCCAGTGATCTTCCTGATTGCAGTAGATTGGATAATGCAACAGAAAACGGGCAATGAGGAAACAGGCATAAAATGGACTCACACAAAAAACTTGGAGGATCTAGACTTCGCCGATGAGATATGTCTGATTTCCTACAAACTGGAAGATATGCAAGTGAAAAGCAACAAGTTGGCGATAGAAGAAGCATCTTGAGAAGACAGGACTTCAGATGAACATAGAGAGAACAGAGGTGATGAAGATTCCTGGTCAACACCAACAGCAACAACAACAAACAGCCGGCATAAATGGGAGGAACCTGAAAGAAACAACCTCCTTTACCTACAGGCGGAACTGACGAGGATATCAAAGCAAGGATTGGGAAAGCAGAACAAGCTTTCATTACTCTCAAGTCTATGTGGAGGTCAACAGCACTCAACATCAAAAATAAGATCCGGATTTTCAACTCCAATGTGAAGTCAGTCAGTGCTACTGTACGGATCAGAGACTTGCTCTGCGCGTCATAAAGAGCATCTCAAACAAACTACAGACCTTCGTTAACAGTTGTCTTCGCTGAATGGTCAAGATCAGATGGCCGGCTAGAAAAGATCAGCAACAGGGATCTCTGGGAGCGAACCAACGAGGAAGCGATTGTGCAAAAAATAGGCAGGAAGAAATGAGGAAACCATCAAGTGACATCACTAGACAAGCGCTCGAGTGGAACCTGAAAGGGAAGCGGCGAGTAAGTCGTCCAAGGGTGACTTGGAGGAGGTCATGTGGAGAGGAAATGAAAGCATGTGGGCACACTTGAAGCCAGGTGAAAACTCTGCCAGAGAACCGAACACAATGAAGACGCGCGGTTGAAGCCCTATTTTCCTCTAGGAATTAAAGGAAATAATAATATAAGTAATCGACAATTGTTTATTATCACCGTTATTCCTCCCTTAGGTAACAACAAGTAGAATATAAGGATTACCATTCCATCAGCTAACCTACCTCACCTCACTAACTTTATAACTTGCCACAGGCTTTCATCTCCCAACAGCATGATTTCTTCCTCGTATGGACACACTTAACTTGTTGTTGGTCATTTTGAATTCCACTCGGCGGCCAGCAGCATAGCATGGGACTTCACTCAGCAATGTCTTTACTCCACTTCTAATCTATCTCTATTTTCATTTTAGGTAATGGGATCCGGTCGCTGTCTACCGGAGATCCTCCTTGATTAACCTTTCTCGCTGGCTATCCCATGTCTAAACGATCTCCAGTAAAATATTCCGCCTGATATTTTACATTAAGAAGTTAAGACACTCGGGTATAACTCAACCCCTCCTCTAACAGTTCATAAACTCTTGCATCCTACCTATTCTTCTTTATTGTTCACCCTTATTCTTTCCTGGTTTGTTTAAAAAAGACTATGTCACAATTCCTAGAATGATGAAGACTGTCAGTAGGGTGAGTGGTGTCCCAGTGCACCACATAGTTAACGTCGTTGTCGATAGGCACTTGACTTAGTGCAATAAATTTGCTAAAGGGATTTTGTCTGACTTGGAGCATCCACTTTACACTCAGCTTTCACCTTGCATCTCCTCAGGTAGAACAAGAAGTAACTTCAGAAAACTGTATGCTCGCACGTCCAAGTATAAGAATTCTATGATACCATACTTGGCACGTATTTTATGTGACAAAATAGTGTCAGGCAAGAATTAACTAGCCTTTTTTCATTTAGTAAATAAACAATTTCCTCCATCCATCCTTATATACCTTCAAGTTTTACTTTTATTATTTCTATTATATTTATGGTTCTGTTACTTCTTTGTTTGTTTTACTTTCATAATTGCAAACACCAACTCATCTCTATGACTGCTGTAATCTTTGTTTTTCCCCTCACCATATCATGTAAAGAGAATATTGTGTTCAATATTTTTAAAAAATGTTAGGATTTCTATACCTCATCGGCAATACTGTGCGAAACAAGCCCACGGCAATTTTCACTTGTATTCTTATTATCATTACCCTAGCTGTTATCATTATTATTGCTATTTCCATTTTATATGCTGCATTTTCACGTGAAATTCAATGAAGGTTTTGTTGGACATTAAGAAATCTTGTTTTACCTTGTTTTTTGTTGGTAAACTGCATGCATCAGCGAATTATGCAGTTTGTTTGTCCACGGTAATTTTCATTTGTATTATTATTACCCTAGCTGTTATCATTATTATTTCCATTTTATATGTTGCATGTTTTTGACATTACCTCTATTGTAAATGTGGAAAATTTACTGTGTGATTAATTTTATTAATAATTTTTGAGGAAATTAGATGCAAAATTGTGATTAATGCTAAAAATTCCATTCTGTATCACAAGTACTGTTTTTAGAATAAAGTAAATTATTATTATCATTATCTTCAGTATCGAGTCAGAGAAGGTGGCTATTGATGAAAGTCAACAGAAGGCTGTTGCACATATTTTTGATGACAGGTGCCTAGTAAATTGACTTGACATTATTGTTATGAGCTCTGGTCTTTATCGTTGACTTGAATGCTTTATATACTACACTGATTTCAGGGTGATGACCAAGTGTCTTGCTTTTCCTAACCCTGATAAACTTTAAAAAATACTAATCAGTAAATATTCGGATGTGATTAGTGAAATGAAGATTAGTTAAGTGATGAATGGATTAAAGTATCACTTGTTGTTTATAGTGAGTACGTTCATTAATGTAGAGAAATAAATGCCTTCAATTACTGCTTTCAAAGTAGATACAAATTTTACAGTTAAATTAACTTTTCATTTGAATGAACTGAAATAAATGTTGATTAGCAGCAGAATTAATATCCAACTATTGGTAACACACATTCATGTGACTGAGGTCGCTTTCTCTAGATAAAATGACACACTGTAAGATGACTTTCAGCTTGTCCAAACATTAGTTAATCTGAACACAGAACTACTTAGATAGATGGTGCAACCAATAAATCAGGAGTACATGTAGATAGAGATGACCAAAACTGCATTATTTGTGGAGATCCGTAGACAGCAGAGGTCAGATTTCATAGGTTTGAAAAAGGAATGCACCTTCCGGTGTACTGTAAACCAACGCCTTTGATTGGTAGACTAATATTTCCTGACTAGAACTGATAATATTGAATAACTGTAATATTTAGAGCAGTGTCAATGTTATTTCACCCATTCGAGGCAATTTCTTTTTACTTTACTTTCTTTACTTTAAATCTTGCTTCCACTTAACCTGCGAACACAATGTCAACATGTTAATATTGATATGACTAACTGAGGCTGTTTCAGATAGCTTTATTTTATTTGCATAGTTTCTGTGACTAAACACAGTCCAATTATTAATCAGATTTACTTAATTTATTTTAAGCGTATTGTGATGGATTTGATATCTTTACTCACGTTACTAACGGAACATAAAACTTCAAGCTTTGGGAAGTTTCAGTAGTGTTGGTGGTCTTGTTTTTTTTTGTTGGTGGGTGACGTTGTAAGTCTCCCGCTCAACTTTCCATCTTTTCCTGGGTTTACTATCGCCTAGTAAGTAAGCTACAGGTGAGGTTTAGAAGTGCATCAGTTGGAAATCGAACCCCGGTAGTCCATATGAGTGGCTGGTGAGCACTCTACTATATCCGTAGAGTGAGTTAAAACGTATAAGGAATCCAATGACTGGTAGAAAGGATATGAATGCAGAATCTGTTTCAATGATATCGATTCTGACGCATATTGCCTTTAAAAAAATCTCCCTCAGTGAATTTCGTGTTTCCAGCAGACTACCAACTAACCAGAAAGTTCTACTTCTCACTAGAGATGCCTACAACCACACAGCAGTCAATAACTCTGTGGATCTATGCTGTACGCTGAAGATTACTTTAATAAGGCTTAATCCATTCGGTAGATGATTAACTAGAACTGGTAATACACACAGTGTAGTCATGTCAGGTCATAAAAGTGCATAATCTCACTCATAGTTTACCTTATACTAAATGACTAACTTAAGCATTACTGAAACAGTACATATGCAACACTACAAAGTCGTTGACAGTGAGATAGATGAAAGTTAAATACATAAAATATTACTGGATACGAATGTGATGTTCTTACTACTTATCCTAACTATCCGCATATGTCTCAAAAAACAAGTCAACACAAAAAGTGTAAAGAATGCCAAAATAAAACAAAAATAAAATGCTGATGAATGAATACTTACCGTTGTTCTGGTGTTTCACCTCCCTTTGGACTTAATTCATACAGACAATTCATCATTTCACTATGATTACGTTTCAGTTGATAATGTAGAACATCACGTTGTAAGCATAGAAAGGGTAAGTTCAAGAATTTGTACACATACATTAAACCTAAACCGGTTTTCATTGACGATTCACAATATTGTACAGGGATGGAACGACGAGTTGAACTGATACTGAAATAATAAGAAAAAGAAAAGAATGGATTTGAGATTACTTGAGGTAACAGGAAAGAATTCAATGCATTAGATGGTTGGAGGCGATCGGCGAGAAGCCTTGCACCTAGGTTTCGTGCTAGTTGGCACTCATCAGTTAACAAGGCGTATCTGCAACCTTGAAGGAACTCATGTCGCTTTTGAGATTCAAAACCACATCACCTAGTCCTACCAGCAGTCAGAGACATAACCACTGAATTATTCGGACTCGCGATTCACCTCTTGTAGGACTGTATTGAATACTTTGATTGGACACTAGTTTCTAGTGTCCAATTAAAGAAGTCATTGTGGAATCAACACAAGATCCGAATCTTTTGCACAAATCTGAAGTCAGTGCCTCACAAACTTGGCCATGGGTGTGTCACCAGAAACACTTACAGCAACTGCCTTCACTGGCTGGATCCTGAAGACCAAATGACCGACCAGAAAGGTTGTGTGACAAGAAACTTTGGCAATGAACCAGCCAAGAGCCCTTAGTCCAACAAATATGGATGTAATACTTGAGGTTAGAGTTAAGTGAGTTCTATTGGTTAAGCTCAACAAAGGTATCTTTCCGGAAATCTCAACCTCAGAAGCTGTACAATCGCGTTTACATACACAAGTTTAGACAGAAACAATTATTATTGATGGCAATATAACTGATTCACTTACAATATATATAAAGTAATCATTTATTTCTGGTTCCATATGAACTGAAAAAGAAAGAAATCGGCATAATGGTTGGAGGGTTTCATCATGAGCTGACATCAGTTAGAGAACCATTAGAAAACCTGGGAGTACTGAACAGCTGTTTCGTCCTAGAGATTGGGAGTTTTCATCAGTATGCACCTACACTGCGGGGTTCGAACTCAGGACCTACTGGTTCCAAGGCGGGCTAGCTCACAGACGATTAAGCTGCTGGGATCCGATTCAGTGACCCGATCCAGCTCATCATGAAACCTACCAACCAAGCAAACACAATCTTTATAAAAGCAATACTTGAAAATCTGGATATCTTTCTTTACACAGCTTAGATCAATAGTCAGTGTTTTCATGAATTCATAGTTCCTGTCCAATATAGTCTGGTTTAAGTTAGCATGGAATGTTTGTGGTGAATCAGAATTCACAGTGCATGCTTTATTAATTGCCTTGACCTAACATAAGATAGCTAATCACACACACTCACTCCTTGTACGGTGGTTTCATAATATCTGTTAGAAACAATGCACAAAGACAAAAAATACTGCTAAAGCATTCTTTAATTGCCTATGTTGCAAAATGTTAACATTAAAAAAAAATTATCACTGTGTGTGTAAACTACTGAACAGTAATTATAACTAATCTGGCCTATTCCCCGATGCACAAACTTCTTACTGGCATTGATCTGTAGTAGAGATTAATTAGTTCAGTGAATGTTTAGCTCTTAAGGCTTTAATATCTCTTCCCTCCTGTAACATATTTCATCATTAGCAACTGGTAAGAGACCATTTTTATTAGAAAGGAAAGAGTTTGTTTATAAGGATTTCATTTGCTTCAAGTTTGGCCGTGAGTTAGGCTGCCATTAAAAAAAAACAGAAAGGAGTAGTGAACAGCTGTTTCGCACTAGTTCAGGACTTATCGGCAGTACGCACTCACTAAGCGTTAAACTCAAGACCTTCAGGTTACAAGCCACATCAGTTTTAACTTCTGCCAATTCACGGTAGAGCGCGACCTTCAGTCAATACCAGTGGTGAGTATCTGTCCTCATGTCCAACTTGGTAACACATCCCAGATACAGACATATATATACTTATCGATGACACTGAATGTCACCGACGGTATATCACAAACTTCACAGGAGTTCCGTCTGTCTGTTTCCGACATAGAACTTTCCACCGATGTGCGGAAGTTCAAGTCGCCACACTCCATCCATGTAGCACACAAAGCAAGAGAAGAAAGTACAAGAAATGCATAATAGACACAGTAAACAGAGGTGTGAGACAAAGGAATAGTAATAACGAAGAACAATATAGCTTCACCAATTGTTTCCAGCCATCGGTTTTTACCATCCCGAGGACCCCAACCAGGAAGTCTACACCATCCTACGTGGCTTAGACTAACTGTTGTGGATTTCATTGACTGATGGAGCCATGTTTTGGTTTGATCACCACTGGCTAACTCTTTTCCAACCTGATCCATCCTTTGCCAGTCAGCGATTAATGGCTAAGCATGTCTAACACACGTCCTAACCATCTCAGTCGATATAATTTCACAGCCTCGTCGATTGATTTTCCCTGCGTAACTAGCACTCGACCAATGCCTAACCTCAATATTGCTCACCTTATTATACCACTTTACACGGGAGATAACGCAGGCACCTATGATCGGAGACATCTAATCTTTTCATGTCTTGACAGGAGTTAGAATTCACAGATCATTGGATTCCGAAAAACCAGGTGGTTAAACAATCAATAGAATAGTCACGTAACCTGGTGATTCTGGGGATTTGTACAGGTGACTAGTCCTAAATAAGCACGACACAGCCATACAGTATTTTGTCAGTTCCCAATGGTTCCTCAATATATATTGTGGCTTGTAAGCAAACTTCCCTACACCCTGAAATATTCATGTTTACAAATGTTACAGAGGAAAATAAAACAGACCTCTGAAAAAGTAATTCAAAGATGGCTTAGTTCAATAAATCCGAACACTACGACTCAGATTTTCATTTCACTTTCAATTATGGTAAGTCTACAAGGTCTAAAACTACCTTAGATACTTTTATCATCAATAAAACAATTTGTACTAAAATAAAAATGTTCTAACTAGATATAAATATATACATGAATATATATATATATACTTTGGATTTAATAAATGAAATATATAAGTGAAGTAATAAGAGTGGATGCACTATGTAAACACTTGAAAAACACCTTGAGGATGAAATGTACTTATTAGAAAGATGACGTCATCATTAATTATCATTGACATCAACAATAACAATAACAACCACAATAATAATACTACTAATAATAATAAAAGATTATACGAAAGTGCAAATTATGAAAAATTAAAAGATAATTAATGATAGCTAATAATCTGCCATAGTATAAAGTCTACATTTCTAAATCGAATTCATCGATTGGTTTATTCACACAAAATCGATTTCATGCATATATATATATACATATATATATATATATATATATATATATATATATATATATATATATATATATGCATAAAATGCATACATTTTTTTAAAAACTGTAAGCATTGTATGCTATTTGTGTATATCAATGAAGCACATCAGTGAACTCATATAGAATGTAATCATTGCCATCATCAACATTACTATCACTATTATGGTCATGACCTATAGACAGCCAACTTCTGAATACACTGTGATACTTAAGATTAGCATATATATATATATATATATATATATATATATATATATATGTATCACTGCTACAGGAGGTCAATCACTGCCCAGAGCACATTAGAATCTCCTGTGATAACATTACAGAGTAATGCGGATTCAGATTTCTGGGAGGAAATTACTTCCTCCTTCAATGCAGATATGTCTTACTGATGAGTGCCTAACAAACACGAGACTCAGGTTCAGAACACCCTACATACTACCTCCAACCATCCATCACGATTTTTATTCCAGGTTAGTTATATACTTGAATTAATTGATTAAGCTATTTAAAGGAACTGCTGTTCAACAAACAGATCTTAATTTGAAAGACAACCTGGATAGCAGACCAAGTTACAACCAGCGACCTCACTGTTGACATCCAAGCTTTCTATTGGTTGATGATATCGAATGTAAAGTTAGGCATTATTTATTTACACGACAGTTACACTAAATCTTTGGTGATGGAATTGAAACTAACATTTGATGAGCAGCAACTGAGTCAGTCAGTCAACAGACTACCGGATCGGTAGACTAGAAGTGTCTATTGATAACAATTGATGACCTGGAACTTTCATCCCTCTCTCTCTCTTTCTCTCCTGGAAAGTTAACAACTACGAACTCTGAAATACCAACAGATTGTCAAGTTTTGCACATATTTTAAGTGCAATAACCATTTGACTAAATACAGTCCCATTTCCTTTAGGTATCTTAACACAATAGGCCTAAACCCCCTGTTATCACTTTCACCAAGATGGTGTAACAGTAACTAAAAGAGAGGTGGGAACTTATTGTGCCTTTTGAAATATCTAAATTTGCTGAAAGTCTTAAATGTTATCCCTGAAAAAACTAACTCTTGTAAATTAATCTAATGCACACTAGTGACTAACTGGCTCTATTCAAGAAGTTGCCTGGAGTTGTAGGGTGAAGTTGTGACTAGCGGAGTCCACCTGGTCGAGAGTGAAGACCTATACTCACCACCAATAAGATTTACTGGTGATCGCGTTTAAATCATGAATTGTTAGAAGTTAGAGTTCATGGTCTGACCATTGAGTCGGATCGCAGTAGGGCCCAGTGGTTTACGCCGAGGTATCCGAAACTCTGTGTTCTAGGTTCCAGTCTCAGTGGAAACACCATCACCCACCCTATTAGGGGTGGGGGGGGATACAGGCATACAAACATCTGATAAGTTCCGAATAGGAAAAAAAATAAGCATCCTGGAGATTCTACCACTATAGTCACCATCAACCAAAGTAATATCTTTGAGATATTTACAGGTCGACAGACTAAAAAAATACATAACCAGTGTCACACCACAACATAACATTGAAACTACCCTTCTATTTTACAGGGTAGGTAGGCTTTAATAATAATTGTCATTATAGTTCTTGATAGTCTACTGATTTGTGTACCGCCTTTGCATGTGTGCAGTTGTTTATTTTTCAAGCTTCCTTGTCAGATGTAACATTAACACACTATAATGTCTATAATGAAAATAGATACACCGTAGTAAATACGGTAAAATGTCACACTGACAACAGCATATTGGCTAGTTAAGCTTACAGAAAGCATTGTATTT